CACGCCATGCCCAGGTGTGCCAGCAGTGCCATCCCATGCCATGGTCAAGTGTACCAGCAGTGTCATGCCATGCCATGCTGTGCCAGCAGCGCCGTGTCATGCCGAGCTGTGCCATGGCATGTCAGCCATTCCAAGGTGCTGGCAGTGCCACGCTGTGCCCTGCTTCGGTTTTCCAGACAAGCTACGCCCAGGTGTGCCAGGAGTGCCATCCCATGCCATGCCATGCCCAGGTGTGCCAGCAGTGCCATGCCATGCCATGTCATCCAAGCCATGCCATGCCCAGGTGTGCCAGCAGTGCCATGCCATCCCATCCCATGCCATGCCATGTCATCCAAGCCATGCCATGCCCAGGTGTGCCAGGAGTGCCATCCCATGCCATGCCATGCCATGTCATCCAAGCCATGCCATGCCCAGGTGTGCCAGCAGTGCCGTGCCATGCCATGCCATGCCATGCCATGCCATGCCCAGGTGTGCCAGCAGTGCCATCCCATCCCATGCCATGCCATGCCATGCCATCCAAGCCATGCCATGCCCAGGTGTGCCAGCAGTGCCATCCCATGCCATGGTCAACTGTGCCAGCAGAGCCGTGCCGTGCCGTGCCGTGCCGTGCCATGCCGTGCCGTGCCGTGCCGTGCCGTGCCGTGCCGTGCCGTGCCGTGCCGTGCCGTGCCAGCAGCGCCGTGCCATGCCGAGCTGTGCCAGGGGCATCACGCCGCGCCGTGCCCTGCAAGCCGCGCCCGCCGCCGCCGCCGCCGCCGGGGCCGGTGCCGCGGTTCTCCCCCGCGCGGCGGCGCGGGGCGGTGGCGGCGGAGCGGCGGCGGCTCGCCCCCCCCACCGGCGGCTCTCCCCGCCCCGGGGGCCCGGCCGGCCGCGGATTGGTGCGCGGCGCCGGCCCCCTCGGAGCGCGGCCGCCATCGGGCTATTTGACGTGTCGGTGGGGCTGGGAAGGGCTTCGTCTCGCCGGGGCCGCCGCCGCCGCCGCTCCGCCGCCCGCCCGGCCCGGCCCGGCCCCGCGGAGCCGGGCACCCCCCCCTTCCCCCGCCCCAAATGAGCGGCGCTCCCGGCGGGCCCCGGCCGAGGACCCCGCCGAGCCGCGGAGCCGCGGCCGCCCCGTCGCCCCGGCCGCCCCCCGCCACCCGCTGCGCCAGGCCAGCCGGCTGCCCATCCGCGTCCTGAAGATGCTCAGCGCCCACGGCGGCCACCTCCTGCACCCCGAGTACCTCCAGCCGCTCTCCTCCACGCCCGTCAGCCCCATCGAGGTCAGTGCTCGCCGCCCCCGGCCGCGCCTCGGACCCCCGGAGCCGCGCTCCCGGTTCTCCCGGCCGGGCTCTTACTCGCCCGGCGCTCCCGGTCCCCCCGGCCGGGTTCTTTCCAGCCCGGTGCTCTCGGCATTCCCGGCCGGCGCTCCCGGTTCTCCCGGCCGGCTGCTTCCCAGCCCAGCGCTCCCGGTTCTCCCGGCCGGCGCTCCCGATTCTCCCGGCCGGGCTCTGCCCTGCCCGGCGTCCCCGCTCCCCCCACCCGTTCTTTCCCTCCCCCCCCCCCCGCCGCCGCCGCAGCCCCGCTCCCCCCACCGCACCCGGTCCCTCTTCTCCCCGGTCGGGCGCGTCCCCCCGCCCCGTCCCCCCCATCCCCGCGCCCTGGCTCGGCGCCGGGCCCGGCCCCGGGGTTTGGGGGGTGGGGGGAGGCCGGTGCGGGGGCGCCGTCGGGGTCCCCCCTGACCGGCTCCGCTCCGCCCGCAGCTGGACGCCAAGAAGAGCCCGCTGGCGCTGCTGGCCCAGACCTGCTCGCAGATCGGCAAGCCCGACCCGCCGCCCTCCTCCAAGCTGAACGCCGTGGCGGCCGCCGCGCCCGCCGCCGACAAGGAGCCCTCGGCCCGGCCCGCCGCGCTGAAGCCGCCGGGCGGCGGGGACGCGCCCGCCGAGGACAAGTCGAGCTTCAAGCCCTACTCCAAGGGCGGCGGGGAGCCGCGCAAGGACGGCGGAGCGGATAAGGCCGGCTTTCGGGTGCCCAGCGCCGCCTGCCCGCCGTTCCCCCCGCACGCCGCCGCCTCGCCCGGCGGCTCCCGCGGGGCCTCGCCGCAGCACCCCGACCCCAAGGGCGCCGAGGAGAAGAAGGAGCCCGAGGGCGGCAAACCCAGCCCCGAGGGGACGGGCGGGGCGCTGGGGCGCGGGGTGGCGGAGCCCGGGGCGCACGGCGAGCCCCCCTCGGGCCGCAAGTCGGAGCCCCCCGCGCTGCCGCCCGCCGGCCATGTGGCCCCCGTGTCGCCCTACAAGCCGGGCCACTCCGTCTTCCCCCTGCCGCCCTCCAGCATCGGCTACCACGGCTCCATCGTGGGCGCCTACGCCGGCTACCCGTCCCAGTTCGTGCCCGGGCTGGACCCCACCAAGCCGGGGCTGGTGGGCAGCCAGCTGCCGGGGGCGCTGGGGCTGCCGGGCAAACCGCCCAGCTCCAGCCCGCTCACCGGGGCCTCGCCGCCCTCCTTCATGCAGGGATTATGCCGGGACCCGTACTGCCTGAGCTACCACAGCGCCTCGCACCTGGGCTCCAGCAACTGCTCCAGCTGCGTGCACGACCCCGGCAGCCTCAAGAGCGGATACCCCTTGGTGTACCCCACGCACCCCCTGCACTCGGTGCACACCACGCTCTCCTCCGGCGGCACCCCCAGCCTGCCCGGCCACCCCCTCTACACCTACGGCTTCATGCTGCAGAACGACCCCCTGCCCCACATATGCAACTGGGTGTCTGCCAGCGGACCCTGCGACAAGAGGTTTGCCACCTCGGAGGAGCTGCTCACCCACCTACGGACCCACACGGCCCTGCCGGGGGCCGAGAAACTCTTGGCGGGTTACCCTACCTCCGGGCTGGGCTCCGCGGCCTCCTGCCACCTGCACCTCCCGCCCGCCGCCCCCGGGAGCCCCAACACCTTACCGGCCTCGCTCTCCTTGAGGAGCCCACACACTTTGGGACTAAACAGGTACCACCCCTACGGCAAGAGCCACTTGCCCACGGCCGGCGCCCTGCCCGTGCCCTCCTTGCCCGCCGCCGGACCTTACTACTCCCCGTACGCGCTCTACGGCCAAAGACTCACGTCAGCCTCGGCTTTGGGATATCAGTAACCAGCGCGGCCCCGGCCGGCTCAGCCCCAGCGCCCCGTGCCCTCCTTGGACTCTGTATTTATTACTGTATGTTAGCTTAAAGCTGGGAATATAAGTGCATTATACACCAATGAATCAATGGTATGCAAAAGTCTGTGTCCAAAAAAAAAAAAAAAAAAACCCGAAAAAAAGAAAAAAAAAATCCCTCTTTACTTTGCAGGTGTGGGGCTTTGATTTTCCCCTTCTGTTTCTTTCGATTTTTTTTTTTCCTTCCCCTTCTTAATTTCCCCCGAGAAATTCTTGCATGACTCCTACAACACATGGAAAAGCAAAAAAAAAAAAAGGCATTTTCCTCCTTCCCCTCTGCGTTCATCGCTCTGGGATTCTGTTCTCTGCATTTGTAATTTGCAGATGTAATTTTTTTTGTAATTTTTTTCTTATTTTTAATCTTCGGGGTTTTCAAATTTTTTTTTTTCCTTTTAAAATTTTTGTGGTTTAATTTTTTTGTTTGTTTGTTTTAAATTTTACTATTTTTTTCTCTTTTTTTTTGGTTTTTTTTTTTCCTTTTTGCGCTGTGTCCGGGGCCGGGGGGTCTGCGGACGCTGGCCGGGTGATGCTCACCGCACAGCCCGTGCCCCGCCGGGGGTTCCGGACCCCGCGTGTCCCCCCCATGCCGGGGGTGGGGGGACCGGAGGAGCGGCGGGCGCAGCGGCAGGACCGGCGGCCCCGGGCGGGCGGACGAGCCCCGGTAAGTCTGATTTTGTTAATAAACGGCTCTTGGTTGTACCCACGCTCTGGTCTGGTCTCGTCCCTGCCCGGGGGTCCGGCGGGGGCCGCGGGGTCCCAGCACCATCTAGCGGCGGCGGCGGCGGCGGCGGCACCGGCGGAGCCCCGCGGGACGGGAGCGGCGGCACCGGGAGCGCTCCCGGCGCGGCCCCGCGTGTCCTGCCCCCGGTGTCCCCCTCCCCGCGTGTCCTGCCCCCGGTGTCCCCCTCCCCGCGGGTCCTGCCCCCGGTGTCCCCCTCCCCGCGGGTCCTGCCCCCGGTGTCCCCACGCGTGGCGGCGGAGGCGAGGCTGGAGAAGGCGTTTAGCGGGGTCAGAGCGGTGCCCCCGGGATGCAGTTTTAGGGGTGCAGTTGTGGTAGAAGCGGGTCCGGATCTCGGTGTGAGGGCGGCCGGGAGCTGGGGGGTCCTGCCTGCTCCCGTTCAGGGGGATGCAGGGCTCTGGCACGGCCCGGCTCCATCCCTGCCGTGCTGGGGGGCTCTGCCTGCTCCATGCCCCAAGGAAAACGCTTTTACTCCAGCACTGGGACCCCCGGCCAAGCCCCTGCTCCCCCTGCAAACCCTGCATGCCCTGTTGCCCCACATCACTTATTTTTTTTCTGCCTCGTTCCTGTGTTCCTGTTGCATTTCAGTGAGTCACACAATTAATCCCTGTTAATTGCCTTCTCGATATTGCTTTATGCCCCTGTGTTTAAATTCCTTTGTGTCCTTTGAGCTGAAAAATAACGCTCTGAGAACAGGGACTACTTTCGCCGAAGGGATTTTTATTTCCCTGCCTGTGCCTCGAGCGTGCGGCCGGTGGGAGGGCCCGGCCGGGGTTTCCTGTGGCAGTGGGAGAGCTTGGTGGTCCAGGGGCCAGTTTAGCTCCGTTCTGAGCTCCCCGAGGCTGGTTTTGGGGGTCTGTGGCTGCCCCTTGCCCCATGCAGACGTGGCTGGGGTCTGGTTGTGGTCGTGCTGGTTGTTGCTCCTTCCAGGCGGAATGAGGATCTGGGGTTTGCAGGGCTGGGGCTGGCACGGGGGGCTTTGCTGCGGGTGTTTGCAGGGCTGGCACGGGGGGGCTTTGCTGCGGGTGTTTGTGGGGCTGGGGCTGGCACGGGGGGCTTTGTTGTGGGTGTTTGTGGGGTTGGGGCTGGCACGGGGGGGCTTTGCTGCGGGTGTTTGCTCTGTCCTGTGGGCACAGCAGGAAGGGGGTGCCAGGCCCCGGCTGGTGCAGCCCCTCGGTGTCTCCGGTGTCCCTGCAGGATGCCGAGCCTTCGGCAGCTGATGCCGGCCGTGGAGCAGTGCCACGGCGGCGGGCACAGCAGCTCCAGTGCATTCTCTCCGGTGGCACGGGAGGCATGCAGAGCTCCTGGCACTCGGGAGCATGGACGTGGCCCCCGCTCCCAGCAGTGGTGCCGCTCGGTGTCGGCCTCGCTCGGGCACTGCCAGTCCCCACCATAAATCCTGGGCCTGTCTCAGGTTCCTGCGCTGGAATTTTGTCCCGCTGTGCCCGTCCCTGGCCTTGGCTGAGCGCCTCATGCCATGGGGTGGGAAGATGATGCTGCAGACCCTCGAGGCGCGGTAGCCCAGTGCTAAAATCAGCTGTGCCACATCCCAGCCATGGAGCAAAGGGCTGCACAGCCCTCGTGCTGCCAGAGCCTTCTCCCAGAGCTGCCGGGTGCATCCCTCCTTACGGCAAAGCTGCAGCCCCTTTCTCCCCCAAACCCTCTCTGCACCGGGATGGTCCCTGCTCCAAACCGAGCCCGGGTGCCTTCCCGTCACCCACGGTAGGGCTGGATGCTGCCTGGATGCGTCCTACTGTGCTGGAGGTTCCCTGAGGAATATTTTTCCCTTCCCTAAGGACTGCAGCAGCGGGGCCAGACCGTGTAAACACTGCGAGTATCATCTGATAGCGGCGGCACTTGGGCTGGAGCTGCTGGGGAACAGTTGCGTTGCCAATATATTAAATAATTCCCTGTGTAATGTATGCCCAGGTTATTGCGGAATTCATTTTACAATAAGAGCACTGGGATGCACTTTATTAATCATTCTGTCTAACAACCTGCACTCCACAGTTTCGGTTTGATTTGATTCAATCCTGTCTTTCTGCAAAATATATGGCTGAGTGGGTCGGATAATGTATGGCTTAATTTAGAGTTGTATGGGTTTGAATTACCATTTTCATAATGTGCTGTGCATTAATGTGTTGCATCATTTATACAGAAAAATGTGCAAGGTTTCAAACCTCTCCAGGAGGCAAAAGTCACCTAAAGGGAACGCGGAGAGACAAAAAAAGACCTTTACAAATCCAGCTGGGGCTGGGAGGACACCGGTGGGTGTCGGACGTGGGGAGAGCAGAGTTGGGGCTGTGCTGGTGGCTCCTTCCTTCCCCAGCTGGCCCCGAGCTGCCGGGGACCTGCAGCACTTGACTCGCCGGTGACCCCGGTGCCGGCGCTTGCCGAAGTCGCGCCCACCGTCACTCACCCCGCGCAGGGAGGAAAAAGCTCTGATTATCCAAATACAGTCATTAAAGGGGAAATGTGTTTTTAGGACTGTCAGAGTGATTAATGAGGGATAGCAATCCTCGCAAATGCACTTGTTTAGTCTAACTGGCAGCCTCTCCTTTCCTATTGATTTATGGTGGCAGTTGCAGGGCCGTGGCGTGTGTGGAAGGAGCGGGGCTGCACCGGGGCTGCCGGGCACGGCGAGGGGCCCGGCCGAGCGGCACGGCACGCTCAGCCGTGCCGGAGGCAGCTGAACAAAGGCAACATTATACCCTGTGCCGGGGAAGGAATGACTTGGACGCACACGCCGAGCCGCTCCGCGTGCCTTATAAATATCCCCGTCTGTAGAGCCCGAAGCCCAGCTGACCACAGCCACGCTGTCCGCCCAATAAATACGTGAATGAAAGAGACAGGCCCTATTTTTTCTTGTTGTTTTCCTTCCTCCTCTGCACAAAAATCCCCGATGTCTTTTAGGTGATGCAGAGGTGGCTGCCCGCAGACGTACAAGGCGTTTCAGAGTCCAGAGTGGAGCGCGGCGTCCTCGAGGGCTGGAGCCTGCCCAGGGGTCAGGTCGGGATGCAGAGGCATGGGCCAAAGCAGAGTCATGGTGGGTGGATGAGAAGTTCCTCAGCCACATAAAGCAGCTTTTCTTTCCACGTGAGCACTGCTGGAAACCACGGAGAACACGGGCTCTGTTTGTCCTCAAAGCCAGAGTGGTGTGAACATCTCCTGTCCCCCCACCAGCACCCCCGTGCCCAGCCTGGGGTCAGGGCGTTGCTTTGAGGCACGCTTGGTGCTGCATGAGCTGAGAGCAGACCTGGAGGGACAAAGCCGTGCTTGGAGGTGGCATCAGAGGTCCTGTGCCAGGCTGTGAGCTGGAGCCCTGCCGGAGGAGCAGCTGGAGCAGCGGGGTGACGCGGCGGTGACACGGCGGTGACACCGAGTTGTGTGCGTGGAGCTGTGTGTGCCCAGCAGAGCCCCACACTGCCCTGGTGGGGGTTCACCTCCAGCCACTCCAAGCAGTGGGACAGCACAAGCGACAAGAGGCTGGACGAGGTGAGTGGAGAAGGACAAAGATCTCAAGGTGCCAGGGCCAGAAGAGTGTGGGCAAGCACCTGGGGCACTGCAGCGGCCAGGAATGCCACGAATAGGAGTGGACATTGCTCTGGATAACGCCTGAAGAGCTGCTGCTGCCTCTGCCCTGGCCATGGGTTGGTGTGTGGTGCAAATCCTGCAGCAGCTCCGCTTCCAGCTTTGGCAGCGATACGCCGACACGTTCCTCACCAGACCAGGACACCCAGCCTCAGCTGGTCACCAGTGACCCGGTGTGACCATGGCCATGGTTTCCCTCTTGTGCAGAGTCTGGTCAGCGTGACAGTCCAGCACAGGGCCCTGGCAGGTGACAAAGCCCTGGGGTTTCCTTGCACAGGTTGACACCGGAGTTGTGGCAGCGATCCTGCTCCTTCCTGCAGGCCGGGTGACAGTCACCCCTCTGTTTATTGCGGTGACAAACGGAGGAGTGCTGATCCTCACACACCAACACTTCAGCTGGACCTCCCCGGAGAGCAGGGGAGGGTGCTCTGCTGGCAGCTCCGTGCACACAGCAGGCTCCTGGAGCTTGAGTCACAATAACAAAGATTTACACAAACCCTTGGGTTTTCTGAGGGTGTTCGTGGAAACCTCCGGGAGCAGCTTCATGGGACTTCATGGGACTTCATCCCATCTTCCAGCGTGGTGCAGGGAGGCAGGACAGAGGATGTGACCCGCAGGGGAGGTGCCTTTGCCATAGGTGACAGTGGAATGCTGACCCTGTGCTATCAGAGCTGGCCCCGACAGGCTGAGCAGAGCTGGACAGGACACCCGACACTGTGCGGGGTGCAACGTGACCTTTGCCAACACCCTGTGGTCCCAACATTCATGGATCACCCCTCCTGGCCTGGCAAAATTTGGAAGGAGGTGAAAGATGCAGCATCCTGGGCATCTGGTGGCTTCTGGGGCTTGATGGACCCTTCCTGCAGACACCTCAGTGGAACAGAGAACCGAAATGGCCTTTTTTGTGTTCCCTACAGCTGCAAAGGGCGGCTCCCCAGCAGCACTCGGGACTGTGCTGGTGCCCACCACAGCACCCCTGCATCTCCACTGGTGCATCCGTGGCAGAGGGAGAAGCTGCTGCACCAAAGGCGACGGGAGCAGTGGGAGTCTCAGGTCCTGGTGCCACCTCTCCATGAGCGGCATGGCTGGGGGCTCCGAGGGAGAAGGACAGGACAGAGATGGGGACTGTTGAAGATCTTCCTTGCTGAGCACTCACTGTCTTCTCTGCACTTCCCAGAGGGAGGAGAGGGCAGAGTGAAGCACCAAAAGGTTTGCTGTATTTTCCTCTCTGGATGAGAAGGATGGGGCTGCTCATCGCCGAGGATGGTGTCCAGGTCTGGAGCCCTGATCTGGGCAGGGCTCCTCTGAAAGGGACTCCTGCCTTCTGCTGGAGCAGTGTTGCCTCTGTGGGGTTTTGTTCCCGTTCCCTGCACAGTCCCAGTAACATCCAAGGGGCTGGAGAAGGACAGTCCCCCTCGGAGGTGAGAAGAGCCATGTTCTGGGCAAAATGGAGATGGAGCCAAAAGCCCTTCCTTCCTTCTGGGCTTCTCACAGTCTCTGGGACTCTGGTTGGGTTTTCTTTGGGAACAACTGGGATGGATGGATGGATGGAGCTGGCTGGGTGCCTGCTCCTCTGGCTGCAGGGACATGCTCTGTCCCCATGGCTGCTGCTCCTCGATAATTCTCCAGCTCTTCCAAGTTGCTGTGCTGGCACAGAAATCCTGCAGCACTGGGGCAGCTCGGGGGGGTCCTACCTGGGGACCACCCCAAGGGGAGCACCAGGATTCGGCAGCTCTCACCTGCTTTTGGGATGTCCCGGTGTGGGGCAGACCCTGAGCCCTCCTGGCTGTGGGGGAACCCCTTGGGGCATGGGACTGTCCTGCTGGGTTTGGGGACTGTCCTGCTGGGTCTGAGGACTGGCTCTGAGCACTGGAGGCGTGCACAGCACCCACCCACATGCTGCAGGTGAGTTCGGGGGAGATGGGGGCCAGGGCAGGGCTGGGACACTCTGTGCCAGCAGGGCACAGGGACAGCTTGGCACCACAGCCAGGGGTGGGCAGTGGGCACAGCCCCTGGCTTTGATCACAGCCCAGGTGGCCACAAGCCCCAGGGCAGCGATGGGCTCTGGGGACACATCTCTGGGTGTCCTGCCCATGGGGCCAGCACAGTGCCAGGGATGCTGCTGGCACCCCGGGCTGCCCCAGCTCATCCCTGCGGCCCTGCCCTTCTCCCGCCGCCAGGAGCGGCCCTTTCATCTCCGGGGAGGTACAAATGGAGCTGTCAGATGCCATCAGCCCCGCGATATGACAGGTTGTGGGGCCGGGGCCCCTCGAACAGAGCAGCCTTGTCTGTCAGAGCCGCCTGACACTCCCCATAATGGCCAGATGGATGAGACTCTGAAAGTAGGGCCCGGCGTGTTTTCAACTCTATTTTGGGTGAAAACACTTCTTGAAAGATCTTGAAAGGAGCTGGCAGTTTAGTAGTTCAAATGATTAATGAGCACTGGCTCTGGCGGGTGGATTTCTCGCGCCGTGCCAGCAGCTGGGCCGCTGCAGCGGGCCAAGACACGCCGCGCTCCCCCGGCCCCGCTCCCAGCCCCCCGTCCTTCCCGGAAATGACACCGAGGCGACAGGCCCTGCATATGGAAAAAGTTAAATATAAATTACTGCTGAAAGAGGCCTTGCTGAGCGGAGTTAGTTAAAGATGTTTATGGATTCAGAAACACGGGCCTGCATATGTATTTAGGGATGACAAATGTGATTCAATAAGTCAGGAATTTCTCCGTGGGCTGAGGCGGGACCCGCGCGGCGCGGGCGCTGCTCTGGGCTCGGCAGCTCAGTGCCATAAATCCTGCAGGCAGGCTCCTCGCTCCTTCCCGGCCTGCTCGGGATTCATTCTCGCCTTTTCCTTGGATCTGACCGAGTCACGGGAGACGTGACTGGGATGTGTTTGGGATGTGACAGCCCTGATCCCTCCACGGCTGTCCCCTGGGACGGGTTGGGGGGGCTTGGGAAAACACACGGGGCACTGGGGACCACGGCACGTCCCTGTCCCTGGGCTCTCTGTCCCCCCCAGCGTCGCTCTGGGAGCAGCTGAGCCCTTCAGGACTGTCAGCAGACGATCAACGACCCACAGCTCCAGAGCTGCCCAATTGCAAGTTTGGGGTTTGACCTGGTGCTTAACGAGTCCGGCCCCAAATCTGCAGCCCCTTCATGTGGGCAGCTGGGGGGGTCTCCTGGAGCCTGGGGAGCACCCACCCAAACTGCCCCCTGTTCCTGCTGCTCTTGGGGTGCACATCAGGGACCACAACATGCTGAAGCAGGAAACCCCAAAACTAAACTCCAGCTGCGGTGGTGGGGGCCTGGCAGGGGTGCCTGGTCCATGATGGGGGTGCCAGGTCCATGGTGGGGGTCCCAGGTTCATGGCAGGGGTGCCAGGTCCATGGCAGGGATGCCCCAGGTCCATGGCGGGGGTGCCAGGTCCATGGTGGGGGTGCCAGGTCCATGGCAGGGGTGCAGGTCCATGGTGGGGGTGCCCCAGGTCCATGGCAGGGGTGCCAGGTCCATGGTGGGGGTGCCAGGTCCATGATGGGGGTGCCCCAGGTCCATGGTGGGGGTGCCAGGTCCATGGTGGGGGTGCCCCAGGTCCATGGTGGGGGTGCCAGGTCCATGGTGGGGGTGCCAGGTCCATGGCAGGGTGCTGGATTTGGGGTGACAACCCCAGCAGAGCTGCAGCAGTGGGCAGTGCAGGAACCACCCCCTTGGCTCCCCTCATCCCACACCTCTGTGAGGCTCAGAGGGAAATGCCTTTTGGGGGGTCAGCGCCCGGCCAGGCCTTGGACCCACGTCCACATTCCTTTGTCCTGATTTTATTCGTTAGCAACATTTGGCCTGGATATGGAGACAGCTAATGAGGGACGGAGTTTATTGCAGTTTGATTTTTCTGTTAAAACAATACAATAAAATAAATGCACTTGGAAATCTGGTCTGTGTTTGTACATAGGAGATTTATGGCTCTGAAGGCTTCCAGAGAGACGCAGCCTTTCATTCCCTTCCTTATTGGAACAGATCATGTTGCAGAGTTTAAAGGCCTCTGGAGCTGTGATTTATTTGAAGGGAGAAATAAGGGAAATCCAACTATCTGTTCCCTGGCTCGGATCATCCAGTAACTCCCAGCCAAGGGGACGGATCTGCACCTCCTCCACGGACTTTTAAAATTTTTTTTCCCTCCTGTCACTTACATTATCCTGCTCTAAATATATCACCGAGCCAGGGATGACTCCTGACCTGGGCATCAGCACCTCACTGAGGTTTCCCCAGCCCTTCCTGGAATCCCACAGATAAATCTCTGTCCTAGAGCCCTGTCCAAGCTCCTCCACGCTGCCGACAGGACATGACCTGCGTGGAGCCAGCTGCTGCCTTGATCCAGAGCTGAGGTAAAGGCAGGATCTTGGGGTTATCGCTGGATTCAGGTGATAAATTCATGTCACCTGTTGCTGCTCCCCTCCCTTGCTGCTCTCCTGGGCAGAGAATAGCATGGCAGTTTAGAACCAGGTCAGGATTTGTGCCTGAAAACCTTTTCCATGAACTTGGAAGCTCAGCAGGATGATGCTGCAGCTCCCACGCTCCAGGCCACGACTGCCACAGCTGCCTCCCTCCCACCCTCATGGAGGAAAACTGTGTTTTCCCCTTCTCTGAGGTTTCCTGCTGCCAGGAATGAAGCACCTGGAAGGCTCCATGGTGCTGTGGTGCACCCCAGCCCGTCCCAGTTACCCCAGTGGATCCCCCCAGCAGGAGCAAGGTGAGAGCATTCCCTGAGCTTCAAACAGACATTTTGGAAGCATTTGGCATTTACAGGCCCAAGCTTCGTGGCTTCTGGTGCAACTCCTGCTTGTCCCAAGTATCCCCTGGACTTCTGGGAAAGGTGAGTGTTGGTGCCATCAGCACCATCCATCCTTTGCTGTGCTGTTGGGACACACGTGAGAGGAGAATTCCCTTCTCCACTGTGACATCTCACTGTGGGGCGGGGAAGGAGTGACCGAGGTTCCCAGCTGGGGAGGGGACCTGGCTGTGATGGCCACTCTCCTCCTCCTGGAGCTCCATCCCAGCTCCTCCAGCCCATGTTTTTGGCAGGCCATTCCCTCCCCCTGCGCACAGACGGGCTCTGTTTGCCATTAGCTTCCCCCCTCTGCCCCAGGAGCCCATCCCAGCACTAATTCTCACGCATGTTTCGGGTAAATCTACTTTCTTTCCCGGGATGAATTGTGGTTTCCAAGCACCATTAATCATTTCCCTTTAGAAAACAGCATTGGGGGGCTGGAAACACATTGCTCCTTTATTTACTGGGGGATGACCTGGCACGCTGGCACCCGGCCACGGGGCTGGCGCCTGCGGGACAACGAGGGGCGCGGAGAGAAGCCTCGGGGAGAGCTCCCCTCTGTGCTGGGAACTGATTCCCAGCGGGATCACCTCCCCCAGGACAGACCCAGCTCCTGCCCAGGGCGAGGGGAGCAAGGGGGTGGTGGTGGGCAGGAGAAGGCTGGGAATGCTGTAGTGCTTTCCCAAGAGCCTCCTCCCAGGGGCTGTTCCCTGGGAGCTTGGTTGCCCCCCGGCAAGGGCAGGAATGTCTCCCCACTCTCCACCCGCCCCACACGCCCCTTTCAAGGGGATGTGGGTCCAGGACCCTCAGCTCATGGGTTTGGGTGGGCCCAAGGTGGAGGAAGCCCCCCTGCCCCACCGGCCATGGGGAGGGGGCACCAGGAGCACGTGTGAGCTCTGGACTGTCAGGGGATGATTAATGGCCAACGCCACCGAGCTGCCCGAGCTGCCAAGAGCTGCATTGTTAGAGCTGACACGGAACGAGCCCCGACACTCTCAAACACAGCTCTGCCCTGGAATCAGCAGAGAACATTCAATGGACAGAAGTGGGGAAGCGTTCCCCCACACAGCCCCTGCCCTGCCCTGCCCTGCCAGAGCAGAGCAGGAAGGGGCCCAGCCAAGCACCCCCGGCCTCCCAGCTCCTTCCAGGGATTTCCCTTCCTGGGCTCCACTGCTGCTTCGGGTTTCAGCTGGGGGACAGCGGGGATGGGATGGGATCCATGGATGGGATCCATGGATGGGACAGGATGGGATGGGATCGATGGGATGGGGATACAAAGGGGGTGGAACTAGAGATGGAGGCAGAATTTGGGATGGGGTCCGGGACAGGGTAGAAATGGAGATGGAGACAGGAGTGGGGTTGGGGCAGGACAGGCGTGCAGAGCTTTCCACCCCCCACTCCAGCTGCACAGGTAACCTTAAACGCCAAAGCATGAGCGTGGGGACAGAGTTTTTCCAGCCCCATTCCCAGCTGTCAGGCGGTGATTAATGGCCAACAGCCTCGGAATTGCCTTTATTGCCAGCCCGGCATTGTTACTGCTGACAGCTAACAAGGGCAGACAGGCTTCACACCGCGCCTTGCGCCGGGCCTGCCGGGACCGAGCCGGGCCTGAGCCAGCCGTGCCAAGACTGAGCTGGGCCTGTCCCACTGGGGCTGCCCATAGGTATCCCAGCTCTGCCCAGGCCATCCCAGCTGTGCCCAGGCCACCCCAAATGTGCCCACAGCGATCCCTGCTGTGCCCAGGCCATCCCAGCTGTGCCCACAGCCATCCCAGCTCTGCCCAGGCCACCCCTGCTGTGCCCACGGCCATCCCAGCTCTGCCCAGGCCACCCCTGCTGTGCCCACAGCCATCCCAGCTGTGCCCACGGCCATCCCAGCTCTGTCCATGGCAATCCCAGCTGTGCCCAGGCTATCCCAGCTCTGCCCTCATCCCACCCAGGGTCTGCCTGGGTCCCATCCCAGCTCCATCCCCACGAGTCTGGAGCCACGAGCACCCAGAGACCCCCACATGGTCTCACTGAACTCCACAGAAAACCCCACAGGATATTTTTACAAGGGCAGGGGGATGAGGTAGGGATGAAGAAGCTGGAGAGAACTGGATGCAATAAACCATTTATTCCTACAAACAGCCCTGTTAAAACCCCAAGAGCCGTGGCACAGACACCACTGAATGTTCCTGGCCTCGAGTCCAGCGGTAATGATTTTTTTTGGCTTTCATTTTTTTTTTTAGGATTATTACAAATAATATTTACCTTTGTGCTGGTTCACATCTTGATGCTGTTAAACACGTGGCCACAGCTGGTTTCCCGCTCAGGGCAGTGATATAGTGCCGCTGTTATGAAGCAAAACCTCTCCTGTGAGCCAGAACACCCCACATTTAAAAACCTATTACTTTTCAATATTCCATGGATGCATTTTGCTCCAGCTCAGAGCAATTTCCTAGTTTACCCTTATTAAACTGAGAGGGGCTGAGCAGAGGCTTGTGATTTATGAAACACATACTAGATTCATTAAAACCCTTAAAGATTTAATACATTTTATCAAGGCCTTAAATCTGGGCAACCGCCTTTAAAAAAACACCAGCTACAGGGTGTTTTTCATCTCTGGCGCCCTTTTGCGCTTCTTTAAGAGCTGTAAAATTTGGATTGACAAATATCGTGGATATTTCATTCCTTATTCCTAAATGGCGCTGAACCCTCCTGACAGGGTTGTTATATATAACCTCGGAGATCCATCACAAGTAAAGATCAAATCGTTCTCCCTTACTGACGTTTTATCTGTGGATTTAAGGCCCTTTCCAGGATCACAGAGCTGGATGGTTCTGTTTTCTGGCCCATCCCATTTCCTGAGGTTGCCCAAAGCAGGCCCGGCGAGCAGCGGGGTCTGTGTGGGGGCGATGCCGGGGGAGGGCGGCGATATAAATGTGCAATAAAAATGTTCTGGCTGAGAACAGTAATTGCCAGAGGGGAATCCAGGCTCCTTGCAGGACATTTGGCACCCTCAGGGACACGGAGGGGTTGTTGGGGTGTGTGCAGGCCCAGGAGCTGGACTGGATCACCCCATGAGCCTTTCCAGCGGAGACCTTCTGTGGGAAAGTGGAATATGGAAACGGGAATATCCCGGCCCGTGGCAGGGCTGCAGCGGGACGAGTCTCGCTTCCCAATCCGACACTCGGCGTTCTGTGCCCCTCCCGGCGGGGAGAGGCCCGGGGGCTCCGCACCCCGACCCGCGGTGGGCGCGGGCGGGTCTCGAACCCGCGGCCTCCGGCGCCACATCCCCGCTCCTCCATCGCCCCCTGGCGGCGGCGGCGCGGGCGCGCGGTGATGACGTCAGTGGCGCGCCGCCGGTGCCGCCGCCGGTGCCGGGCATGGCCCAGCTCGGCGCCATCGCCGCGCTCGCCCTCGGCGTGGCGGCCGCCGCGCTGCTCTCGGCCGTGCACAAGATCGACGAGGGGCACATCGGCGTCTACTACCGGTGAGACAGCCCGGGGGGCCTCCTGCGGGGAGCGGGCCAGCCGCCGCCGCCGCTCACCGTGACCCTTCTCTCTCTCTCTGTCCCACTCCCGTTCCCTCCGCAGCGGCGGCGCGTTGCTGACCTCCACCAGCGGGCCCGGTTTCCACCTCATGCTGCCCTTCATCACGTCCTACAAGTCAGTGCAGGTGCTGCTGGGCCCGGGCCCGGGCGGGGCGGGCACCGGGGGAGTCCGGCTGTCGGTGCCGGTACCGGGCAGAGGCGGCTCGGTGGGGTTTGTGCCGCGGAAATCCCTCTCTTAAGCCTCTTTCCTTCAATCCCCTGCAGACCACGCTGCAGACGGACGAGGTGAAGAATGTCCCGTGCGGCACCAGGTGAGGAGTTCGCTCTTCCCCTTCGCCCCCGAGACTCCTCAGAGACCGAACCGCTCTGCGGCCCCGGGTGGTCCCACCGGAGGGGACAGTCCCCTCCTGCAAGGATCATTTTGTGTTTTTCCCTTTGCAGCGGGGGAGTGATGATTTATTTCGACAGGATCGAGGTGGTGAATTTCCTGATCCAGAGCGCGGGTGAGTCCCAGCTGTGCCCCGGGGCCGTGCTGCAGGGAGGGAGGTGTGGGGCCGGGGAGGGAGCT